TTGCTGTCTGCTTTAAATTGGGAAGAGTTCCCTTCACTTGCTCATAATTAGGAAGTAAGGGAAACCCTCTTCTACAGAGTTGGCCCAGGAGTACATGTCCCCATTGGAAGATGGTAAAAACCGAGACCAGAAAGGGGTTCTAACCCTTACTTACTCCATCCAAAAAGATTTTGGCTTTCCTATAATTGTGTTTTAGAGGGATCTCCTGCAGCACTGTACATACAAAGACCATCCATGTATATGGGGAGGTAAATAAACAGAATACGTTACTGTGGGTATCAACATTTTCAATGTCAGAATCATTATAGTTCTGTGTCCATTTGAAACAAACCATAGGTAAATGCATATATTTCAGTATCTTCTAACAATGTGCATTGCCACTTAATTTAAAGTAAGTACAATTTTGTAGTTTTGTTAGGAAACATAAATTATTAGACAAGCTTTAATTTCTCATACAGCTGTTTTTTAGTGGTTTGTTTACCACATCAGTCAGATAAATAGTAACTCAACTGTCTTTCGAGATCTACATTCTGATTGGTCTCCTTTATTGCTTTGCGCACTGTGATGCTAACTGATGCTATGACAAAATAGTCTGATGACCTGCAAGTTCAACATCAGTAATCATTTTTGTGACTGCATGTGAAAACTATTTATCATCTGGTTATTCAGTATTATAAAACAAGTAAAATATAATAGGCCAACAAAAATTTGTGCTTGTATACACCCTGGGTATTTGCAGATTAATGAGCAAGTTTAAAGAGAACCTTTGGCCAGACAATTTACATAAGTATTTACATATTCTTAAAGTCCAATTAAAAACAATTTTTTTTGTTTCAGCTAACGAGGGAAAGACTAAAAATGTCTGTATTTTATTTCTGTCTATGAGCCCATAACGAGATTTCTCCTCACTTCCTGTCCATTTGATTTCTGTGCAAGAAGACAGGGGTGCCGTAGTCACTGGGACAGGAAAGCATATACAGCAATAAAACCATTATGTTCTAAACGTTGTTCACTGTACTAGAAATGTGTTTTGTTTTTGTCTGCATCCTCATTGGAGAGACACAGTCAATAAACCCATTGCACTCGAAACTCCTGTTTCTATGTAGCACAGCATTAGGTGTAGCATGCTTTGCTGCATATGCGTCAATAAATAGATGTATTTGATTTGCTATTGGAGTGCCGGTGTCTATATTCCCATTGGAGAGACTTCCCAATACCTGTCCTGACAGAAAGTGAGCAGACATCTTAAAAGCGAGACACACGGCAATACAATCCTGACAATATAACCCTTCTTTGCTCTATCCAAAACATTTTCAGTCTGTCACTAGGTCACTGCAGTACAGACGTTCGGGGTAAGGTAAGTATATCATGTATTTACTGACTTTTTTTGCTTTCATGCTGGTATTTAGTATGGCATTCCAGACATATAATGTGGACCTTGATTTTTATTGCAAGGTTTGCTTGAAGGATATGTAAATACTCAGTAGCCTTGACACATGTTTACTTTAAGGAGTTAGTCCTTCCAAAACAGATTCAATTTTTAATACACTCTGTCAAGCTGGATTGACTACTGAGATGTGTTTGATGTAATACTATGCTTCCCACCTAGGAGCCTGTAAAGCGAGCCTCACTCTTCTTTCTGTATTGTACATAATAAAAAATAAATTTTTACAACTCAATAAAGAGAATTAGACCTCACTGAAGAGAATTAGACATTGCTATAATCTCAGCAGATGGGTGAACCTGGGAAATCAAGCAGTAGAATTTCTCTCACAGTATATTTGACTGACATAGCAATTACGTGTGTTTAATGTGGAATAGTTAGAATGCATTATTAGGACAATTCACAAAGATCTTCACATGGATTGTTGCTTCTGGCAGGGGATAAGTGAGAGATTCTATGAGAACTCTATGGAAAAGTTCAAAACATGGAGCCATTTGACATGGCGATAAATTTGGCGATAAAATACAGATATTAATTCCTGAGAAGTAAAGGCTGTGAACAGAAAAAAATACCAATTTCAAACCTGTATGCTATTTGTTTTTGTTAACTGGACAGTTGGTTGAGAAAATTAGCTCAAAGCAAAATAACAGTTGCTGTTAAAATATGTCCTACATCTTAGTGAATTGACTTTTGACTATAAAAAAGGACCTTTAACCTGGTTTATACTTTCAAATTGTCTCTGTTTTGATGATTTTGAGCAACAAGAAAAGAAGGCCTATCAGTTTTGTTTTGACAAATATGTTTAGATTTAGGACAGGGGTAGTCAGGGCAGGGTTTACGTCATTTCTGCGTTATTATAAGCTCTTGGCAGGTATAGATGATGAATTAGTGCTGTAGAGCATGAAAATGGCAAACAGTAAATGAAAAATGTTCTTGACACTTGACATCCATGCGTTTGGTCTTAACAAATTTACCTACAGTAACAAAAGAAATATATATCTACATATTTATAACTAACACTTTGTTAAGGCACTGCACAACCGTTTGTACACACACCGCCCTGCATACTTGATCTAACAAGGCATTGCTACCTCAATAATATTACCTAAACCATATGTAAGAGAAACCATTATTACAAATTTACACAAAAATCTTTCTGTACATGATTGTCTCAGTGATGTACATCATTTAAAAAAAAAAAATTACAGTATACATACTTTAGACAAAGACATTTCCAAGTATCCGGCCTGTAGTACCTTGTTATCATATCTGTATCTCAAGCTGCAATGTCCATTTATAAATTAGTTGTAGTCAGTAAACTTTGAGTTTAGGGCACTATACTAAATGATTTAGCATAGCTGTTTGATTTGCAGTAAAACCTGCCATTCCACTGACCAACTCCCTAGAATGGAAATTGTGGAGCCTACAAAGTCTCAAGCTTTCTCTGTCTTCCCTTCACAGGTATGAACCATTTATTCCATGGAACAATGTATCATGTCTCTAGAACTCTAAGAAAGGCAAATGTTCTGATATTGATTAGGCTCATGTCTTCCAAGTCCCGATGCTTAATTTTTCAGCATTATAGCAGACAGAAGATAAGCACTTCTGGTAGGACTTCCATATCTGTATATTGCATAGGGAAACCAACACATCTGTAACCCATTACGAAGGTGTATTTTCTTGTGGATTCAAAGTGCTGTTTTCTTGCTACAAGTACTCAAGTTCCAGGGCATGGTGCAGTGCCATTAAATCTGAGTGGCTTGATATTCTCCAAAATGGCATTGAATGCTGCAATTATAAGAAACAAAGAAACAAATAAGTAAAGGATATCCCAGGACCGCAAAAACATTAGCAGTTTAAGGTCATAATTAAAAAAGTATTTTATTTAATTTTAATTATAACATAAAGTGGTCACTCAAATAGGCAAAAAAAATTGGGGGATTTAAAAAGTGTGCTCTGTTCAATATTAATGTTTCGGACAACCATTTGTCTTTAGGTTATGTAATACATGGATGAAACATTATCTGGCTAATAATGAACTTTCTTACTATCTTGTTTAGTTAAGACACATTAATTCAATGCCAGGTTCAGAAAGGAACTTTTGTTATAAGTTTGGTTTGGACACTGGCGAAAATCTGGATAGGAGTGGCAATCCACAGTCCAATCACCCTCTTGAATCTGTTAAGATCTGGGGTGCCCCTGGATTTGTGTTGATCTATCATTAGCCGTTAGAAGATATTACTTTAGATAAATTAGTCTTTGACTGATGACCATTATGACTTGATTTCAGGCAGCATGATCTTTAGTAAACTTGTGTTGTGGTTAATGTGAATGATCTAGTTCAGTAATGGCGAATCCCGGCACTCCAGCTGTGCCAAAACTACAAATGCCAACATGCATCTGCTTCTGGGAGTTATGTCTGTGGCTGTCAGAGCCTTGCAAAGCCTCATCCAAAACAGCTGGAGTGCCAAGGTTCGCCACCACTGATCTAGTTGGTTAGCATCCTGCTAAACAATAGAAGGCGTCAATTGTGACAAATAAAATGCTGCAGAGTAATGCAGCATAACAAGAAAATGTTGATCATGTGACAGGTATTAACAAATGACTTTTCATGGATAATAATTGGCATGAGTTTAGTTGTAGTAATTAATACACAAGGAGTATCAGCAATTTGCAAATGTTCAATTTACCTGAATATTTACACACAACTTGCAATCTGTATGATTGTGCTCTCTAGTCACTCTTTACCATGTACAATAACATGTTTACCTTTTTTGCTCCTTGCTCTTCTTCTACTCCATCTCCTACTACTACATAGACCACTTTCCTGCCAAACCTCTGGACTATCCTCTCAAAGCAGCTTTCTTTACCTGTGAACATGAAAGTAAAACAATAATTTAAAAAGCATCTTACATTGTATTCCTCATTGCTAGGAGCTAATTGCAGACATTACTGAATGTTGTGTCTAGGCAACCTTTGTGTAGGTGAATGCAGATAGCTATAGATATACTAGCATGGCAAAGAGCAAAATTTGAGCACTCTGCAGTAAACATAGTGGCCATGTGGAAAGTATTTTAAGACATACTTATACAAAATATTTTATTTATTTATACCAATTACAAAGCTCATTGTCATCTGGTCCTGTCTTAGGCTGGGTTCACACCTGGGTATTTTTCAGCGCTGATCGAATCACTGAAAAACGCTCAAGAAGTGAAATCCTATGAATCCCTATGGGCATGGTTCCCACCTGGGCGTATTTCAGCCCGTTTTGTCACGCTGAAAAGCGCCCTACGCGCGAAAAAGTACTTGAGCTTCTTTTTCGTGCGTAGGGGCAGATTTCAGCACGCATCCATTGGTATTCCCGAGTGCGGTTTGGGGTTAACAAAGCAGTAACCCCGAGCCACACTCGGGAATTACAGCATAGGTCTTACCTTGTCCGCGATCCCCGCTTTGTCCTCCGGCCGCTGGCGTCTTCCGGGTTCTGTCCCTTGCGAGCGTCCACGTCGCAGGGGGGCGGAACCGTCGGGAAGTTTAAAAGTTAAAAAAAGAAAAACAGATAGAGAAAAAAAGGAAACAAAATCATACCGCCAGGGAGATTAAAAAAACGAGCGTCGAACACGCATTTCATTGGAGAAAAAACGTGCTTAAAAACTTGCTAAAAAAACGCGCCTATTAGGAATGGCCAGGTGTAAACCCAGCCCTACAGTATAACATTTGCAAATAAAGGCAATTGGAGGTATACCACATAATCAGGGTTGAAAAATGTTAGTGTCTCACCAGTCAGTCAAAAATTTCACCAGTCACTTTTTTCACCACATAATGAAAAAAGTACTGTAAATTTCGGGAAAAAAATGTTTTTCCTACGTTATTTTAAAAAACATTTATTCTTACCCATACTTTTGGTAAAATATAAAAGACGGGGTCACGTCGGATAAATAGCCACCAAACAGGTCAAGCCTTAAAATTGCGCACGCTTGCAAAATCGCAAAAAACTACCACACCGAAAATTGGCCATAGGCGACGATTTAAACGCTTTTACTGCTCATCAGTTTAGTGTTATCAGTGATTAATGGCCCTAAAATTATTGCTCACACTCCAACGTTTGCGGTGATATGTAACACGTGCGGCACAATAGGCGCAATCGTCGTTTTCGCACATAGGCGCACTCAACACATGTTTGCGTGTGTATGTGGGGGGTGGGGGACTTTTAAAAAAAATGTACTGTGTTTAAAAAAAATTTATGCTTCTTTAATTTTTTAATTCATCTTTTTTTACAATTAACTTTATTGCCATCACATGGGGGGCTAAGATAGCCAATTTACATGACAGGTCCTCTTTATGGAGACGTCAGGGGTCTCCAAGAGCCCTAATGGCACCTAGGGACCGTCAGAGAAGCTGATGAAGCAGAGATATGCTTCACCAGCTTTTCCCCACCTTCTGAAGCTGGAGAGTGACAGCAGGATGTGGAAGTGATGTAACATACATCACTTCCTGCATTCGGGGACTGCAGAGGAAGATCGTGTACTGACCTCCCTTTGATCTCCTGTCACAGAGCAGCCATGCCGATCCCAGCCGCACTGGGCACAGCGGATCTCGGGGCTGGCAACGGCAGTGACAGCTGCTGCTAATACAAGCGATCAGGCGTCTCTCGTGATGCCCGATTGCTTGAATGTAAAGCTCCCGGCCAGCCGTTTAATTACAACGGCCGGATGGGTAGCACAGACGAGAGGACAAGCTGATTTTTCAAGCCCTGTTCATAATGTTAACTGAACCTTGTTGCATCAAAAGATTTAGGCGTTGATAGAAATGTGCCAGCCAGTGCAGTGGCTGCAGTTTATATTTTAAAATAACAATAACTATTTGCAACTTCGGTTATAGATAGTTCCTCATTAATTATAATGAAAAAAGAAAACATATTGCACGAACTTAGCAAATGTCTTCACTATTTTTCACATACTTTGCATGCAGATATTGTCTGCTGTCCAAAAGAAGCTATGCTATGACTGTAAGACCAGCTTCCATTTTGCTGCTGCTTTCTGCCACAACTTTCTCACTACTCTATTCATTTGAGCTACTTCATCACTAGCATCTTTAGCATTTCTTGGAAAGCTACCAGCACCAGAATTATATATCAAGCCTGTCACAACAGTTAATCAGCAAAACACCCTTTTTGTTCTGGAGCCCCTACAGAGAGGGCCACACGATCAGTAGTGGAACAAAGCATCCATCACTATAGTAACTACCTTATGAATTTCCCAATTGGACTCCATTTTCCTTTTCTTTGGCTTCCATTCTGTAAATTTTAACAGTTCTTTTGTGTTTTGGTTCTAAACCAGTGTTACATGTGCCCAAGAAATACTTCAGATTGTACATGGGCACATTCCTTGGAATCATATATAAAATTTTAGCAAAAAATGTATGAAAACATATCAGAAATATTATTATAGGACAACTTTAGCCAGCTTTCTTTTTTGCTTTTGATAGTGTGGGTGAAGGTTGGAATTTGTTGATATTTTTATTGCTGTCTGTGTTCTCATTGAGGAGATTTCCTCAAAGTCTGTTCCTGACAGAAAGGAGGGAGAATCTATCCTTTTGAGGCCCAGAAAACAACAAAACCATGTTTCTTTCCAGTACAGCGGGGAAAGATTAGCATTTGTAAGGTATATATATTGTTCTATGTGCCTTCCTGGCCTCGTTACCCTCATTTCTTATTTCTAAGGATACAAATTAAAAAGAGATCATTCTAACAGTCACATACAACAATAAAAGAGTAAAAACACTGACAAAAGTTCTAACTCTTTCCTAATCTATTTAGAACTTAGAAAACAAAGTTTTGGCTGGAGTTAGGCTTTTTATTACAAGAGTTACATTTACACAATTAGGGGTACCAAGGACCAATGTGCCCGTTTGAAGGGATACTTAAAGTGACACTAAACTCAGGGTGTAAATCTTCAAGCATTCAAGTAACTTAACTAAGAGGGTTATTCACAAAGCTGCCGAAGGATCCAGCTGTAGCTTTGGTTGATCCTTCGGCTAGCTTCGGTTACGGGAGCCCTTTGGTTCAGTAGAACCGAAGGGCTGCTGTACGGGCTATTCACTATAGCCTGTACAGCTCCCGAAGTTGGCCGAGCGGCTCAGTCGAGCCGAAGGCATATACTTTGGCTCGACCGAGCCTAGGAGAAATCCGAAGCTGGCCGAACGGCCGGCCATTGGCCGACTGAAAGCCTGCTACTGACAGTTGGGTGGAGCCAGCCGTCCTCTCACATCTGGCTCCGGCCACTTGCATTGACAGATCAACGCCCCCTGGTTACCGGTTAACCAGGGGGCGCTGATCTGTAATTACAATGAGAACTCGGCAGAGCCGCCGTGATATCATGGTGGCCTCGCCAAGCTCTCAGTGTGCAATGACAGTTCAGCGCCCCCTGGTTACCTAGTGGCTTAGCGGAGTCGGCGGTGATATCAAAGCCGGCTCTGCTAAGCTCTCATCGTAATGACAGAACAGCATCCCCTGGTTACTATGTAACCAGGGGATGCTGATCTGTCATTACAATGAGAGCTTAGTGGAGCCGGCTTTGATATCACCGCTGGCTCCGCTATGCTCTCATTGTAATGACAGCCAGTCCCGGCCAATAGAAAACAGTTGAGCGGAGCTAGCTGCTCTGCTAGCTCCGCCCAATCGTTTTCTATTTTTTTTCTACTTTTTTAACTGGTTTTCTATTCTGCTCGGTACCTCAGAGGTACCGAGCAGAATAGCCGAGCCGAATGCCGCTCGGCGGCATTCGGCTTTTCACTCACTTCTGTTCGGCATCTATGAGAATAGGCCAAACAGCAGCAAGTAGCCTGCCGGAGGTTCCACTCAGCCGATCCAGATGTTGCATCGGCTGAGTCGAACTCCTTCTGCACTTTGGGTCGGCCGAACATGCTGAGCATGTTTGGCCGACCCGAAGCCAGCCGCAACAAGCCGATGTATGGCTGATTTCAGTCGGTGTGCGGCTGAAATGAGCCATACAAGCCTGAAGTGAATAGCCGAACAGCGTTCGGCTCACTTCACTACGGGTCAGTTATTCACATGGCTGCCTACGTCAGCTTTGTGAATAACCCTCTAAGTAACAAAACTCTACCTTATTTGTGTAGATCCTCAAATCATCTCTGAGTTCATGCTGACACTGTCCTTCCTGCTGGGGGGTGGCTACTTTTGTTCCCCATGGTCCCTGTGTGTGTTGTAAAGTAGCCACCTCTCCAAGATCGCTCCGTTGATGGATTACAATCTCACATTTCGTTTACTTATCTTTACTGAAATCACAGGAGTGTGCTTGGAGCAGTGGCCACTTTACAACACACACAGTGACCATAGGGAACAAAAGTAGCCACCCTCCAGAAGGAAGGACAGTGTCAGCACAAATTCAGAAATGATTTGAGGATCTACAGCCGAGTGATACACATATAAGATACATTTTTGTTAATAATTAGGGTACTTGAATGCATTTTTAAGTTTTAACTCATGACTTTAAGATTAAGCACTCTGGGAGTACCTGACAAACATTGACTCTTTAAAGGAAAAATCTATATTTTGAGAACCAATATGTTAGTTAGCAAAATATCATTTATATGTTTATAAGTACTTGTAACATTATCTGATCTGCAATACTCACCTATTTTAGTTGCACTATAAATATTTTCAATAGGAAACGCAACTCCTAATCCATATAACAGGACCTTTGCCAATGCTGGTATAAGTTGTGTAGTTGTGACAAGTATATTTACACAGTTTGTCCTGTTGAAAAAAAAATACATTGTAATTATTCTATGTGGAAATTAGCAGGCAATTAATATAGGTATAGGTAAATATGGGTAAAGTCACATCCCTCAAGCTAGTGCTGTAAATGAAAAGGAAAATTACCTAGAGTGAATTAATGTGAGGGCTTTCAGTGCAAGTGTTAACCAAGAATCTGTCAAGGCTTCAATCTCAGCCCTCAGCTGTAGCCAAGCTTCCCTCTTTGCTGGGCCAAGCAGACCTGTAATAGACAAAAAATATTGGATAAGAAAAACTGCTCATTCTTCAGTTCTTTCTAGGAAATTTTTTTTTAAAGTTCAAACAAGGAACAAGATCTAAAGGGAAATAACATCCACATACTTAAGCGGTTATAGTTTGTTTTCCCGACTTAAAAGCGGAGCTCATGAATAAAATAAAATACCTTTACATTTAATTTAAGGGGCTGCACTTTGATGTTTGAAATGGTAGTCATTTGTATTGTCCCACAGCAACCCATTAGATTTGAAATGCATGCTAGAAAATAAAGGACAACCGAAGAAAGAAAAAAAAAATTGGTGTGTATTGGACAACACTATAACAATATAAGTTTTGCTTGTGTAATATCTTCATTAGATATTCTGATAAATGGGAATATATTTAAACCATTCATTGCGTGTCTCTGCATTTTAAACAACTCCCAGCTTCCCAATTGTGTTACTGTGACTCTTTCTACTCCTGGCTATTGTTTCCATATCACAAGCCACATGGGTTGTAAACAATAACCCAACAGCAACCTAATTTAGATCCTCTAAGCAGGTTGCATCCCATGTACATTTGTTAGGTGTAGTGACCAATTGGGGTGCCCTATAATAGCCACTGTACAGAAAGTAGAGGTTATAAGACAATGTTACCTAGCCATGATTTTTTCTTTACTGGGACATACAAGAACTCAGTATGCCCAGTTGTAAAGCTGAGAGGTAAAATAACATCATATTTATACTGCTCATTGCCATGTAAATATTTGTTTGTGTTATTTGTAACTATTATGTAACCTCACCAATAAATGTATATTGCTAGTTGGACTACTTCTTTTGCCCAAGAATCCTCAGATCTAGGTGAGTTTATATAAATACTCCTAAAGTGGTTGCAGTATATTTATATATCCACTTAACCTAGTCAACAAACACAGACAGATTTATTTAAAAGAACAAAACACTTTTTGTGATAGCTTGAATGATTTAACAAGGAAGAAATTAGACAACTTAGGTAGAAATAATTATGGTCAGACCGATTTGAAAAATAATGATGATAATGTTAAGATTGTATAACATTTTGACAAAAATACAGAGCTTGACCAAGGCAAACTTTTGCAGAATACTTTAACCCACATCTGGAATTTTGGCCAAAACCAGCTAAGGTTTTGTTATGGGATATTTTCTTTCATAAACATTTCATTGGATTTTCAGCTAAACAGAACATACAAGAATAGGCAGAGCACCAATGTGTAACATTGCACTTACACAAGGTACATCAAACATTAACATATCTAGAATGCATAGGGAACAAACATGTGGGCAGTGTAAAAAGGCAGAGTCCAGGGTACTGGGTAAGGGATAAGCTTAATGGGTTGGGAACTCAAACTAGCGTTAGGATGTAACCATGCTATGTGTTGGGCATGCAAGTCTCCAAAGGGGTTTTCAGTAAGTAGTCAAATCATTGACAAGGTGTAGGCTGGACTGGGGAGGAAGGGTAGGCAGGAAGGTAATGTACATAAACTAGGGAAAGTCTTGGGTATAAGGCAAACAGGGAAAGAAAGAGGGGGGCAAGGGACCGAGAGGGAAAGATGGAGGAGGGATAAAGGAGGAAAATAAGGGGGAAAAGGGAAAGAAAGTTAAGAACCATTCATATAAGTTATTTTGTATGACTGTAAGCATATTGCAATTTTTAACCTCCACAAAGCTCAAGGAGGGATCCTAGAGGCCTTTGTGATCACTATTTTAGTTATAGTAAACAGACATTTGCATAGGTTAGTGTGAAAAACAGTTCAGATAAGATTATAATCCCTAATCCATAGTTTAGATACACACGGGCAGATCTTATATGATCTTCTCTATAACGACTGTTCTTTCCAAAGTCCTCTAACCCATGAGAATGTGTTAACGTCACACTTGGACAAGATAGCAGTTCTTCATTGAATAAGGACACATGTCATACAAAGTACAACAGTCCACATTAAGGCGTATAAAGGTTACTATGTTTATTCATCTGCTTACACCTTCATTGTTGATATTATTTCTAATCAGACAATGTAAAGTGGAACTCCAGGCAAAGACAATAAAGTGTAATTTGCCAGATTCCCTTTATATTTGCTCATCAACATTATTCTTACATTATTATATATGTCATATATTGCATAAAGTATTTACCTACTGATCCTGCCATTCCCCTGAATATGACCTAATTTCCTGTTTCAGCTAACAATGCTACTCAGCCACTTGTCAAATGGCTGGTCCCCCCAGCATTGTCAGGACACGTAAACAGTGTGACCCTAATATGTATGAGTAAGCACTGTGCACCTTGGCTGCATCCTCCAGTGCTCATTCTCTGCAATTGCAATTTTTTTCTGAGTTTCAGCACTGCTCAGTCTTCCCTTCCTGTCCCGATGTCATTGCTGAAGGAAATCTCCGCTGATCAAAGCTGATGTTAGCAGTCAAATGACCACCGAGTAAAACTTTAAAAAAGGTATTTGTATGCCTTTTATATTTTAAGTATCACCTAGTTTAAAATGAATAGAGAGGCACCATGTAGGACATGGTTTCTGTGTTGAAATTCTGCTGGAGGTTGGTATTGCCTGTGTCATTCTAAAAATGCTAGTTGGGAGGCTGTATTTCTCAATGACATTACTAAGCATGCAGTATATGAGTGTCAAAGAAAGTCAGAAATCTTTGTAACTATACTTGTTCCAAATCAGTTCCAAAGTATTAAAGCCAAAGCATCTTCAGAAGAAAGACCACCAATTAAAGTCTTCATATTTCTCTAATGGCAGGTTTCCCTTAAGTGAATAGATCAAACACACTTAACTGTTGGTCCCTTGTGTAGACAGCTATATAAGTTAGATCAAATCAAGGTCTAGGTTATTCAGGTTGCGTTTAGTCAGTTCAATCAATCTTTAACACAATAATTTAATATGCGGAATAGCAGAGTGAGGTTTACTTTACACAATGAGCGTGATTTACTAAAGCCAAATAGGCTGTTCACTTTGCAAGAGGATTTTCCCTTAGCTTAGTGAATGTGGTAAAAATTGATTTTGCGAAGCATACCCAATCATGTGTACAGCAAATAAAATACACTATTTTTGCTTGCCCATGATTAGTTAATAGAAGCCAGCAGAGCTTCACCTGATTCTCTAAGCTGAGGGAAACATCCCTTGCAAAGTTACAAGCCTATTTGTATTTGGTAAATCAACGCCACTGAATTATGAAAACTATATTTTAATTGCTGTTTGTTTTCTGTCACGGTAGTTTTTAATTGTAAATTGTATTTAATGTGTAATTTTAAAGCAGGTGCAATTGATGGAGGTGCCCTCCGCACACCTTTCAGCAGTCCTGGCCAACAATCAAATAAATGGTGCTCGAAGTAACTTCACGGATGGCACTGTGCAAAATACAAGATTGAAGAAATAGGTCACCAGCACTCCATAAGTTAAAATGAATGAGTCCTTTTAATGGACAATGATGTCACAGAAATCCAACATGAGCCGACGTTTCGGGGCCACACTGGGTCCCTTCTTCAAGGCAAGAGATGTGACCTAACACATCTCATCTCTTGCCTTGAAGAAGGGACCCTGTGTGGCCCCGAAACGTCGGCTCATGTTGGATTTCTGTGACATCATTGTCCATTAAAAGGACTCATTCATTTTAACTTATGGAGTGCTGGTGACCTATTTCTTCAATCTTAATTTTAAAGCAGAACTCCAGGCAAATACATACTCAGCTGAAATACAAAATTTGAACTATTTACCTGCCAAAGTATTTTAAATTCTTTTTGGCAAGTGCCATGTTCCAGGCAACCTTGCAAGAAGTGCGTGGGCACATGTGTGCTTGTTAAGTAGACACTGACTGGGTTCTAAATTTGCAAGTTAATGTGACGGCTCATTACTGAGTATGCTACATGGTTTCTTACCTCCAACATTATTTTTATAGGTGTTGTAGATTTCTTTTACTCTTCTATAACGAAAAGCCAATTTTCTCATCCAGTCTACACCTCCACGAACTCCAGTAGCTAGACATAGGTTTGCACTGGTTGCTGCTGCTGGGAAGCCATCTGTTCCAAAGTTATACGTGCTGAAACAATAAGTGAATAAAATAATTGATTAGATTTACAATAAGGAGTTGGGAAATTACATATATATCTGTGACATTTGTTTTGGTCAAGACCTCATTATCCTCTGCCAGTTATGCAGGTATTACATCCTTATGTGTAATGCTAGTGATGGGAAGCTTATCCGGCATGCACTAAACACTGGGTGTCGGAGGATCAGAATCTCTGTTGCATAGCCAGCCTATGTGTCCCCTAGCTGTAGTGCTTCTTTAGGCTTTTATACACAGATACTTGATGGAGAAAAACATTTCTGGGAACATATCCATATCTTTATGAGCTTCCAGCTATTTTCCTGGCTTGGGGGAGCAGCGCAAATGATTGTGAACGTTAACATCAGTGCCTACACAAACTACTGTCCAAGTTCATTGTAAAATGCTGTAATGGGAAACGTTTCTGCTCAATCCACCTCTTCTGCCCCAGTTATCAGGAACATGTTCTGAGTAACCACTTTACTTTGTCATGAACTGCAAAGGCAATGTGAAACTGCATATATGTATTTGCTATTAAAACAAGAGAGAAATTGGTGGCTAAGGATACAAATTTACTTAACAGCATACATGAAATACTTTCTTTCCCAATCAGTTCTATTTAAAAGCTTTAGAGGACTGTCATTGTCGCAATCTCCTTCTGAAAATTCTTATTGCCCTGCAGTGTCTGGCTAGAACCAGCTTGCAGATAAGGGATCAAAATAATGCCATTTTGTCTCCTGATCCAAATACTTGCTCCAGGTTAGTAACTCAGAAAGTATGGAAGCCAATGGATCAGCCAGGAAACTAGCACTTTCAGAACAAGAGGTCAGCAAATGCAGCCTCTATCCTTCCTCAGTATAGGTTTTCTTTAAATCCAGCTTGTGAGACCAATACGTTGTAACCACACCAGTGGGTGGCCTTCCGCTAATTTAAAGAGCAACTCCAGTTATTTTAAAAATTAACCCTTGCAGTGGGGCTACCCCCAATACTGCAGGGGTTAACTGCTAGTTTTGGTCTAGGGGGAGAAGATATACTCACCTGATCCATGGTCCTGAAGTAGTGAGCGCTCACTTTTTTCCCCTTCATTCCAGCTGTGGCATGTCCCTCAGTGTCCTCAAATCTAATGAAGGTGGATGGGCCTGCATTAGACATGATGACTCCAGTGGGGCTTAGACCACTGGAGTTGAGGGAGAAGAGGCTGCAGGAACCAACCTAGCAGTCAGACGGGAGCAAGGAACAGGTAAGTCTGTGAAGGTTCTCATTCATCCAGGTCATGGTATATCTGTAAATACAAGTCAAGGCAACTGGACTTGCTGTATTTTTCCTGACGCTCTGGTCAGGATTCAGCAGTGTACCTACATCTAAAGGAAAAAGGTCACTCCTTTAAAGACAGTCAAGTACGCATCCTAGACAGGGAGAAGGACAGGTGTGAGAGAGGCCATTTATGTAAAAATGGAGAAGCCAAGCTTGGTGGGAGTTGGGGGGAGGCATCTATTGTCTGCCACATACAATGCTGTTTTAACACCTCTTTATGGGCAGGTTAATAACTCCTCCTAGACTCCAATTATGCAAATGAAATCAACACCTGGTTGCGACTAACATATTATGTGGATTGGAGCAACATTCACCATATTTATTCCCAGATAAATTTTTGTACAAGTCATTCTGAATTGAGAAAGCTGGTTGGATGACCAGTGAAACGTCTTTAGGAAAATACAGCAAGTCCAGTTTCCTTGACTTATTTTTACAGATAAGGAACAGGTAAGTATATATTTTTTTAATTTGAGCATCTAGACCAAAATGAGCATTTAATACTTGCTGTGGGGGTTAGCCCCACAGCAAGTGTTAATTTTTTTAAATTCCTGGAGTTCCACTTTAAGATTTTAAACTGAACGTACCAAAATGTTTTTCACCTGAAGGTTAAGGTTACTCTTTCTTTGAAATAAACTTTGGTACCTTTATCAGCTCTAGAATTCTTCAGGTTGAAAGGGTATAATAACCAATTACATTTTTTATATATATTTTAAATTGTCATCCAAATGCCCACATGACTACAGTTAGGCATTTTCAGGATTCAGCAGCCCCTTACGGAGTTTCCTTGCTCTGCGCTCCACAATTATTTGAGTTGACATGTCTACTTTTAAAGGCTGAACCCACTTTTTTCCCTGGATAGAACTCTGCATACTCAGTAAGTACTTAGTAAGCAAAATTACAAATTCTGAACAGTGCAAAATACATTATGACAGGCATTATGCAGATGCAATATATAGGAAACATTTTTTAGCATTGCATCACTTTTTTCATTTGCCTCGGTGTCCATGTAAGAACTAGAATTACATTTAAAACATGCACGTACCTCAGGTCTTGTCCATTATCATCTGATGATACATCATCAATATGAACCTGGTCACATTCCTAGAAAAGAAAAGGACAGGATGCAAAATAACTCACTTTTACCACATAGTGCAAATGAGCAGGCAATTAAAATCTACATCTTGAAATGTTATTACATGCCTTTTAAAGCAGTAGGTGGCAGCCTTGTAAAATATCCACTTTATGTTTTAAGTGCCTTAAAAAAAGCCAGCTGTCATTACATTTTACTGACCTACGCATTCTTATTTAGAGCCCATTCTCAGTATTTACTAAGCTGCTACAAGCAATTAGCATATGTGCTTTATAAGGGCCTCTTTGCTCTTAGTACCTTAAAATATCTTACTGTTTAAAGCCGACACAGTCAGTACTTCGTTTTTCAGTAATGTAACATGCTACAAAAATTAAACCCGATGCAAACCGCCAATGAAATTATGACCTCTGATTGCTGTTGAGCCACACACTAACACAGCCTGAGGCCAATGTTTCTGAAGAGAGTACACCAAAAAATCTGTTACTCGTTTTCCATTTATTTGAGACATGTGAGTTTTATTTATTTTGCCTTGGCTGGATAGAAAAAAAAAATGCTCAGATCCTGAAAATACGAAAAGCTCAGACCAGATCAGACACACTTTCATTTTTTCCCCCTTTTTTTTTTTAAATAAGTGGGTTTAAAGTTATTTGGTACTTTCACTACCTACACAAAGAAGCCTTGTTACTAATATGTTTCTGTTGAGTATTTTGCAGAACAGTCGAATGGAATTAGAGCAATTTACTGCAAGGAATTCTCATTAATTTGTACTTGTTGATTACTGAAGCACACTTAATTCGGTAGAAACATGCTAGGCAAGATCATTATAAAGTTTATTTACAGTGTTAAAGCAAGCACTAGGGGGGTTGATTTGCTAACGGCAAATAGGCTGTTCACTTAGCAAGGGAATTTGCACTTTGCACCTTAGTTTAGTGAATGAGGTGAAGCTCTACTGACTTCGATCATCCAATCATGTGCAAGCACAAGTACTGTTTTTTGTTTCCTTCCACTTGATTGGGTATTGTTTGCAAACTGAAATTTTACCTCATCCACTAAGCTAAGGGAAAATTCTCCTGCAAAGCTTAAATCCCCTTGCCAAGTAAACGGCCTATTTGTCTTTGGTAAATCAACCCCTTTATGTACTGTGAACTTTGACAGCTACGTTGGCTATGCTATCAAGTGCTTTTGTACAAAGATTGACATGAACAGCTTGTCCCAATATTCTGCATACAGGAAATCTGTGAATCTTCAGGACCGAAGTTAGGAAGAGAATCAAGAGGGCAAGTAAGTCACATAGATGGATGATACTTTATGGTGAATACATTCTAAAGCTTAATTTTTCACAGGTTCACGGTTCTGGGCAGAATGCTGCTCTCAAGGCTACAGCACCATAACAGGCCCTGACAAATTTGGGTTTCTGGGTTTTATGTATAATTGTTATGTAAGGGTACTAACAACATATATTGTGTTCCTTGGCCAGAGCTCTACAGGTAAATGATCAGTCACTAGAATGGCAGGAATTGTGATGGACCAGTTAGTAGTATGTCAGGGGGTTGTGACGGATTTGTAGTTACAGTTGGTCATTGCCTTTAAAGCCTGCTTCTAATTGTTAACAAATCTTTAGGGCAATCAAAAAGTCTAGGCCAACCTGAAAATGAGACATAACACAAACTGGGGCCCTAAGCAGAAAAGAAGCATCTATTTACTTTTTTCACAATTGACATTGGAAAAGCAAGTGTTATAAGCAAGTGTATCTACATATGTTCACTGTTTGGGAAGTTTAGAAGGCAGTTCATTGCCCAGGCACAGTCCAGCTGTTTTAAGGCAAGCATCTGATAGAGTACTACAGAGAGTGCCATTAACTGGTAATTTTGGTTTGGCTGAGCTTACAAGTATCTTATATGGAGACTAGAAGGGGCTTGGTAGAAAGCAGGCTGAAAAAACAACAGCAACTGGGCAGATTTTTAAACCTGCCAGGTCAATTGTTTCTTCTGAGCAATGTTGTTTGGCTGTCACAACGGGGTTTCATAAACATGAGATTGATGCATATCTGGCTTTAACTGGCCTTATCCTATTTCTACAGGTAGTCTAAGCTGCTGGGTATTTAATCAGGCCAGGAGAAATATGTTATATAACCTCCTCGATCAACCTGGCCATAAAATACCACATTAGCCATTATCCTAGCTATAATATGCATCCTTTTGGAAATTATTCACAGTTAACAGATTTCCAAGTCTTAAGTTGGGTATACACGGGTGGATTTTTGCATCAATATTCGTACGAAAAATTCTGTCGGAAAGTTCGATAATACCATCAGAGGCTTGGCGAAATCCTTAAAAATTTCATTTGATTTTCATTTTTATTTAACATTTGGTTTTGGAATGAATGGAGTTTTCTCGAACAAAAACCACATTCACTGTTAGAATTTTGTTCAATTGAATTTTTTTTCCAACATGCTCCTTTTTCATCGCTGCGGTTGAAATCGACCATCGATTTCACTGCATCAACGATTAGAAAGTCGAGTGAACATTATAAAAATCGATTACATATGTTCAAAATTCTATCCCCTACTTTACTAACAGTTTCAAAAAATGTTGTCAGTTGAATTTTAAGTATAACTAACCACTGAAAAACTGCTGATACTATTATTATTATTTTCTTCAATATTATAATCTGTATGTTTACAATTGATATGATGTGTGATCATTCCTCATTTGCTGAGAGGACTGTAAAGAAAAAAATATAAAATTGCATTTGGCTGCAGGTTTTATGAAGTGTCTCGTAAATTATGATAAGAGTCCAACGTAATAAATCACGGAGATAAAAACCTACTTGCACAGAGTTATTAAAAGATGACTTGGAAGGCCAGTATATTTTGCAGTCCCATGCAGTGCCAGCATATTCCATGTTGTCAGGTACCCGTACTCTATAAACAAAGTCTACACTAAATACTGGGCACATGATATACTGCCAAACCTTTTACTAGACATTTTTCATTTTGAACATTTATCGACATTAAGAACCCTCAGTAGTTTCCAAGATATTTTGGAAGTGTTCATTCCCTCTTACCTATCAGTGCAAAATAAATATTTAACATGTAGTTGATTTGCCTTCTGTGTGCAATAACCATTGCTCCATGACCTGGAGTTTGAATTCTTTCCAGAGAAACAGTATGAGTTCACAATTTAGAGTTTCCGAAAAGTAGCATAAAATGTGTACAAGGACTGGATCACAGCATACATGCAAAACAGACCATTTGAATAAGGCTTAATAGATGTTACAAGCAGATATTTTGCATTATCGACGCCTTCTGAATATTTTGCTTTTTTCTTCACAAGATTTCAGATAGGGGAGGGAACTCAGAGTCAAAGAAAACTCAAACCATCTGTTCTATAACAGAATTAAACAGTGACCCACAGCCATCCATTTTCAAGCCACCCCTTCTCTCAGCAAGCAGCGAGACCCTAGGAGGAAAAGACTTTGACCCTCTAACCTTTTACTCCTCTCTTGAGGTCAACTGCACTAGATAAGCCAGATAAAGGAATATGAGGCCTCAAATGATCATTCTAAAAACTATGTAAATAAAACTTTGATTTAGCAACATTATAATGTGCTTTAAACAACAGTCATATTTTATGATTTTTTTTTTTTTTACTAAAGTAAAGACCACCCATTACACATACCTAATTCCTACGCAGTCAGAAAACAAGTCATGCAAAATCACACTTTGATGGTAGAATTCATGGCATATGCAAAATGAATATGCATTTAGATGTAACAACACAGCTGAGCACTGTTTGTGATACTTTTAAATTTGAAATAACATCACTTTTCAGGACAAGCTTTCAGGGGTCTACCCCCCAAATGCTTGACTTGCAAAATTAACTGTTAGGGCAAATAAAAATTTATCACATACAGTATGCAGCTGAGTTGATGCAAGTGCACTATTACAGCAATAATCACCTTAAACATTTAGATTTAAAAATAATGTCATTTGATTTGATGTACAATGAAGTACAATAGACAGTGGGAAGTTCAAGTGATAGAAAACTGCTACTGTAAAACTGATTCACTTAGAAATTGAACTGTTATACCACCTTGATGCACTGCCAGTTCAAATCTGGCTTGGTGCCCAATCAGTTATTCTCACTGGATTACTCTTTGGAAACTACCACCACCCGACAGACACTACTGCCCAACTTGCAATCCATTAACTCTGTGTCTTTAAGGTTCCTACTATCACATTTTACTAAAGCTTCACTATTGGTAGGTAACATCAGGGGCCATAAAATACACAACAAAACTGTCCATGAAGGTTCAATTCCCATCATTCCAATTTTCACCCACTGAAACTGCCCTTAAAGCCATGGACAATGCAACATTTATCCCATCTATTCTCTGTGACAGATCCTCCCTAAAGGTTTGGCAAGGCTACAACTACTCTACACTTCACTAGTGAAACACAGTGGTATTATTTATATGGTGTAAATGTTTTGCCCAGCTCTGTCATCAACCTATTACCAAGCTTACCAATTTTTCACTATGGTGAAACCCATTCTGGCTGTATACTGGTCTGGGTCACACAAGGAAAGAGAAAGATAACTATTTATGAATTCATTATATACAAGGTACCATCAAATCAGGTTTTTAAATGTATGTATAGAAGGGACACAGCCTGAGTGTCCAGGGAATTCGTTTTTTTTCCATCAGGCATTGTTGCTTCCTACCCCACTCCCTTTTGACAGTTATCTGATGACATGCGTGTGCATATCTAATGCAGGAAATATATTTGCAAATATAGCCACTGTAGGTTACTTCCTGCATCTAACATACAGATAGCCTGATGTATCACTGTGTCAGTCCTCAAAGGTTTATCAGAAGCACCAAACAATTACTTGATGACAGGTTAGCTAATAAGGGTCATATACAAAAGCTGTACAGCTAGCACCATTATAGCCCAACACCATGTTTACACTAAAAAAAAAAGTTAGTGCAACATTTTAAAAGACAAAAA